GGTCTTGCCAAGTTGTCTGGGCTGGTCTCGAACCTGCGGGCTCAGGCAATCCACTCACCTCGGCCTCTCAAAGTGCTGGGATGACAGGCTGAGCCGCTGAGCCCAGCCCCTTCCATTTTTTTTTAAAGTCAGAGTCTCGCTCAGTCTCCCAGGCTGGAGTGTGGTGGCACACTCACGGCCACCGCACCCGTGACTTGCTGGGCTCAGGTGATCCTTCTGCCTCAGCCTTCCAAGTAGCTGGAACCACAGGTGTGCGCCACCATGCCCGGCTTCTTTCCCTTTTTTATTATAAAAGTTAACATGGGTGTATAAAAGTGCCTAAAACATAAATGCACAGAATAGGGAAATATTATAAAGCAAACTTCCATTTAAACCGCCTTTTAGTGTTTTTGCCGTTTTCTGTTTCACTTCTTCCACTTGGGCAAAACGTTTTCCTTTGATGACTCTTTCCATCCAGGGAAGCGAACAAACAAACAAAAAGTCTCTTGAGGCCAGATCAGGTGAATAGGAAGGGTGGGGCATGGCATTTTTGGTCAAAAACTGCTGAACACCCAGTATGGTGTGGGCAGATGCGTTCATAATCACCCACCATGAAGTGGGCAAATGCATTGAAAGAATCTCCAAAAAACTTCACTGAGGCTGAATGTAGCCTCTCACAACAATACTGGCTGGTACACGGATGCCGATGGGTTCCTTGAACACTTGCCTAGTAGGGGAAGCCTGAACTATGAGGGGCCACCCTCCAAAAGATAATTCCATTTTTTCCTCTCCTCCGTTCGCCATGGTTCATCGATTGCTGTGACTGTTGGTGCACACTGGGTTGTTTCCACTTTGGAGCCTTTCTCGAACGTGCTACTGTACACACTCCTATCCTGTTACTAAGGAAAGGCATAGGCACGTATTCCTCTAGGGCTGTGGTTTTCAAAGTGCGGTCCCCAGAAGCAGCCACAGCATCACCTGGGAAATTGCTAGAAAGGGCTAGTCCTGGGTCCCACCCCCAACCTTGAGTTGAGAACAGCAGACCTGTGGGAAAGAGAATAGATTAGGGAACGTCCAGAGACAGAATAGACAGGACTTGCTAGTCAACTGGATGAGAGTGTTGAAACAGAGATACAGGTCGTGAAAGGTGGCCGGGTCTCTGACTTGGGCCGATTGACTGATGGGGCCATTTGTTGAGACAGGATTAGAAGAAGGGTGGGTTCGGGGAAGGGAAGGGAGAGTTGATATTTTGAGCTTGAAGGAGTTTATGGGGGCGTTTACTAGATTTATCCAGTAAACAGCTAGAGTAAGCTTGTGGAGTTCTTAGGAGAGCTGGGGTGGTCCCTGAAGCCCTGACTTGAGTTCTGAGAGTGTCTGTGAAACGAAGGTACATTACTCAGATGGGCCTTGAAGGATGCCAATATTTAAGGGATGGACAGAGACAGAGAGACCTACATGAGTGAGTGGACATGAGTGTCTGGGGTGGTTAGAAAGGTAGAACCCCACAGGGCGTGTGTTGTCTGAGAAGTCAAGGGAAATCACGCTTTGGCAAGAAAAGGAAGTTTAACAGCATCAGAAGCGATTGTGAGAAAAGACAATGTAAGGACTGAAATTGATGAGGCGGTCATTTATAACCTGGGCAAGAAAAGTTTCAGTGAACAAATGGAGGAGGAAGATGCTGAGGGGCTTGGGGGAAGAGACCAGATTGTGGTGGACTGAGAAGGATGTGGTGGAGAAGTCTCACAAAAAATGTGACCATGAAGCAGAAGAGAGATGTGGGTCAGTAGACAATGAGGTCAGGCTGAGATAGTTTGTCATATTTTTTAACAGAAGAGATGTGAACTTTTTTTTCAAGTCAGAGTCTCACTCTGCTGCCCAGGCTAGAGTGTAGTGACACGCTCAGGGCCACCACAGCCTCAACCTGCTGGGCTCCGGCGATCCTTCCACCTCAGCTTTCCAAGGAGCTGGAACCACAGGCATGCGCCGTCATGCCTGGCCCATTGTTTGATTTATTGTAGAGAAGAGGTCTCGCCAAGTTGGCCAGGATGGTCTCGAGCCCCTGGACTCAGGTGATCCTCTTGCCTTCACCTCCCAAAGTGTTGAGATTACAGGCGTGAGCCCCAGCATCTGGCTGACATGAACATTTTTAAAGACCATTAAAAGATGTTGGTAGAGGAAAAGAGGTAAAGTCCAACAAAGAAGACATCCCCAATGGGGTAGGAAGCTTGGGTAGAAGGCTTCCTTGTGGGAGAAGGGACACTTTGCCCATTGTCACAGAAAGGACGAAGGAAGCAGGACAGATGCAGCTGCAAGTTGGTGTGTTGACTTCATGGCAGGAAGTTGAGGGGAGTCTCAGAGTGTGTATTTCCTCTGGAAGATAGAAACCAAGATTGTCAAGTGAGAACAACGAGGGTTGGGGGCCATGGCTGGAGGCCTGTGGAGGGAAAGAGAACCGGGCATGGACAGGCCCCGAGCAGCGGTTTGCCCAGCTGAGGAGGGAGCACCCACCAGGCTGTGCAGGGAGGCTCTTTGGCAGCCCTCAGCCCCGGGCAGGAGCAGGCAGAGAGAAAACTCCATCAGGCGGTCATGTGGGAAGGGAAAGTGTGGGTGAGGCTGGAGCCAGAAAGCCTCAGAAGTGGTCCATGATGGAATCTATGCTGGAAATGGACGGAAACCAGGAGAGGAAGGAGCTCAGAAAGAAGAAGAAAGCTAAGGTCTCCATGGATGGCAGGTTTGACCGAAGCCTCACGAGAAGGCTTACGACAAGATCCAAAGGAAAAGAGGAGAAATCAGAATAAAGGAAACAAGATTACGAGGATCAGATGGAGAAGTGAGTGCCCAGAGACACATGAATAATTCATGACGAACGTGTAAACCACAGAACCAGCCCAAGCTGGTTCAACTTTATGTAATAAAATGGTGAGCTGTTTTGCAGTTGTCCTGGACCCCAGGCTCAAAGTCATGTAACCTGAGCATGCCCAGACGAACCAAGCATGCAACCACAGGTGGAACCTCAGTGCTCAGACCCAGGAACGGGGTCGGGGACCAAATTGAAAAATGGACACCTTGGCAGGATTTGTGATCCAATCAGATTGAGTCCTGGTGTTGGCCTCTGGCATGATGAGGTCAGATCACACCTGCCTATAAAACCTGCCCCAGGCCCTGATGTGATTCCGTCCTGTGTGGCTGTTCTTTGGAGCAGTAGTTGTTCTACCTCCGTCCGCCTTCTCATCCACCTAAGTGCGTGCCACCACCCCATGGAAGATCCGACGGACGTGAACATGAGCCCCCCGAGGCCCCAGGACTATCTTTCCGGTTGTGAACTAAAGGCCAACAAAGACGATCACTTTAAGGTGGGTCATGATGAAAATGAGTACTGGCCAGGCTCGGTGGCTCAGCCTGTCATCCCAGTGCCTTGGGAGGCCGAGGTGAGTGGACTACCTGAGTCCTGATGTTGTTCGAGACCTGCCCGGGCAACTTGGAAAGACCTCGTCTCTACAATACATCAAAAATTAGCCGGGCATGGTAGCGCGTGCCTGTAGTTCCAGCTCCTCAGAAGGCTGAGGAGGAAGGATCGCCAGAGTCCAGCAGGTCGAGGCTGCGGTGGCTGGGAGCGGCCACTGCACTCCAGTCTGGGCGACAGAGTGAGACTCCAACTCCAAAAAAAAAAGGAAAGAAAATGAGCACCAGTTATCTTGAAGAACGATCAGTTTAGAGGCTGTTGCAAAAGATGATTGCACACTGTTGAAGCAGAGGCGATGAATTATGAAGGCAGCCCAGTAAAAGTAACACCGGCAACCTTGAGAATGTCTGTGCAGCCAATGGTTTCCCTGGGGGGCTTTGAAATAACACCACTCGTGGTCTTAAGGTTGAAGTGCGGTTCAGGCCCTGTGCATATCAGTGGACAGCACTTAGTAGCTGTGGGAGAAGATGCAGAGTCGGAAGACGAAGAGGCTGAGGATGTAAAGCTCTTCAGTATATCTGAAAGGAGGTCTGCTCCTGGAGGTAGTAGCAAGATCCTCAGAAAAAAGTAAAGCTTGCTGCTCATGAAGATGACGATGATGATTTGGATGATGAGGAATCTGAAGGAAAAGCTCCAGTGAAAAAATTTATACAAGATACTCCAGCCAAAAATGCACAAAAATCAAACCAGAATGGAGAAGACTCAAAACCATCCACACCAAGATCAAAAGGTCAAGAATCCATCCAAAAACCAGAAAAAAAAAAAACTCCTAAAACACCTAAAGGACTTAGCTCTGTCGAAGACATTAAGGCAAAAATGCAAGCACGTATAGAAAAAGGTGGTTCTCTTCCCAAGGTGGAAGCCAAGTTCATCAGTTATGTGAAGAATTGCTTTCGGATGACTGACCAGGAGGGATTCAAGGTCTCTGGCAGTGGAGGAAATCTCCTTAAGAAAATAGTTTAAGGTTGGGCTCGGTGGCTCAGCCTGTCATCCCAGCTCTTTGGGAAGCCGAGGTGAGTGAGTGGATTGCCTGAGTCCGCGAGTTCGAGGCCAGCCCGGGCAACTTGGCAAGACCTCGTCTCTACCAAAAAAAAAAAAATAGTTTAAACAGTTTGTTAAAATTTTCCATCGTATTTCTTTTCTGTAACAGTTAGTACCTGGCTGTCCTTTTTACAATGCAGAGTGATGACTTTCCCTACTGTGTTTGCTAAATGCTGTCCAGGTTCCTTTGCCAAGAATGTGTTGTCTAAAAATGTCTGTTTAGTTTTTAAAGACAGAACTTCACCCTTTGCTTGGTTTTAAGTTTGTATGGAATATTATGATAGGGCATAGTAGTGGTGGTGGTCAGACATGGAAATGGTGGGGAGACAAAAATACACCTGTGAAATAAACCCAGGATTTCGATAAAAAATAAAAAAAAATAAATAAAATAAAACCTGCCCCAGGCTGGGCTTGGTGACTCAGCCTGTCATCCTAGTACTTTGGGAGGCCAAGGTGAGTGGATTGCCTGAGCCCGTGGGTTCGAGACCCGCCCGGGCAACTTGGCAAGCCCTCATCTCTACAACAAATTTTAAAAAAATCAGCCAGGCATGGTAGCACATGCCTGTAATTCTAGCTACTCGGAAGAATGAGGTAGAAGGATTGCTGGAGCCCAGTGGGTCGAGGCTGCGGTGGCCAGGAGCATGCCATTGCACTCCAGTCTGAGCGATGAAGTGAGACTCCAACTCAAAAAAAAAAAAAAAAGAATTTCTGCTGTGGTCTCCCAAGAAGCCAATATGCCATGCAGTGGACAAGGTCCCATCAGCAACGCTTGATAATACCTTTTTCATTTTAATTTATTTATTTATGATAATTTTTATTTTAATGTATTCTACTTTTTTTGAGTCAGAGTCTCACTCTATCACCCAGGCTGGAGTGCGGTGGCACACTCACGGCCACCCCAGCCTCACCTCGCTGGGCTCTCAGGCCATCCTTCTGCTTTAGCCTTCCAAGTAGCCGGAACTACCACATCTGGCTAATTTTTTGATGTATTGTAGAGATGAGGTATCACCAAATTGCCCAGGCTGGTCTTGAACCCCTGTGAGATAGTTTTTAAATAAATATTTATTAAAGCTCCTCTACATAGTTTAAGCCATAGAAAAAACAATTCCTTTGAATTGATTGTCATTTACATTTTACAGATGAGCAGACAGGTCCAGAGAGCTTAAGAACTTAGCAGACTGATGGGTGGCAAATTGAGAATTAACATAGACCTCGGGCTCACATACAGGTCTGTCTATTGTGGCTCTCCTCAATGCCTTCAATCAATGATCATTTTAGCCCCTATATTTTTATTATTATTGAATAGAGTTTATGTATGTATTTATTTATTTCTGCTTTCTCACTTCCGGTTGTCCATGTCCCTTATTCTTCTTGGGCATAGAGTTTATTTATTTATTTGTTTGTTTATTTATTTGTTTATTCATTTATTTATTGAGTTGGAGTCTCACTCTGTCGCTCAGACCGGAGTGCAGTGGCACGTTCCCAGCCACCGCAGCCTCGACCTGCTGGGCTCCGGCGATTCTTCTGCCTCAGCCTTCCAAGGAGTTGGAACTACAGGGGTGTGCACACCCGGCTAATTTTTGATTGATTGTAGAGATGAGGTCTCACCAAGTTGCCCAGGCAGGTCTCAAACCCGTGGGCTCAGGCAATTCACTCACCTTAGCCTCCCAAAGCGTGGGATGACAGGCTGAGCCACCGAGCCTGGCTAGAGTTTATTTTTTATAGCAGTTTTAGATTCACAGCAAAATTGAAAGGAAGATACAGAGATGTCCCCTATACTCCCTGCCCTCACAGCCTCCTCTATTATTAGTATTCCCACCAAACAATACATTTGCTGAAATTCATGAACCTACGTTGGAATATCATTACCACCCAAAGTCCACACTTTACGTTCCCGCTCAGTCTCGCTGCTGGACCTTCCATGGGTTTGGATAAATGTCTGTCGACAGGTATCCACCATTACAGTATCCACTGCCCTAAATATCTTCTGCCTATTTGCTTTTCTCTCTCCCCTAAACCCAGGCAACCCCTGATCTTTTTATTCTCTCCATAGTTTTGCCTTTTCCAGAATGTCACATTAGGTTTGGCAATTAGGTTCACGAGCCATCCTCGAAAAAGTGCTACACAGCTCATTGCTGAATATCGCTGTAGTCACCTTTGAAGTCCCCCCCTTGGGAAGCTCTGCACCATCGCCAGTGCCTAGTCCACTCGCCAAAGCAATTTTGGAACTCTTTTTCTGGAATGGCCATCAGAGCTGTCGTCATTTGTTGAGATATGACAAGTTCACGAGCATGCCACTGTATGCTTATGTTGGCAGCACTGTACAGATAACTGTATTGGAACACCCTTCCTACTCACCTGATCTGGCTCCCCAATGACTTTTTCTTTACCAGAAGATAAAGGAAATATTGAAAAGAAGACATTTGATGACAGTCACAACATCAAGGGTAATACAGTGACAGCTCTGACGGCCATTCCAGAAAAGGAGTTCCAAAACGGCGTTGATGGGTGGACGAGGCACTAGCGTTGGTGCGAAGTACTTCAAAGATGACTGTAGTGAAATTCAGCAACGTATGTCGCACTTTTTCTAGGGAGCGCTGGTGAACTTAATTGTCAGACCACGTATACTTAAAATTATACAATATGTTACCTTTTCAGACGGGCTTCTTCCCTGTTGTGATGTGCCTTTAAGGTTCCCCTATATCTTTTCATGGCTTCATAGTTCTGTTTAGCTCTGAATAAAATTTCACTGTCTGTATGTATCACAGTTTATCCATGCACCTGCTGAAGGGCATCTTGGTTGCTTCCAAGTTTTGGCAATGATGAAAAAAGTTGCTGTAAACATCAGTGTGCAGGCTTTTATGGGGACAGAAGTTTTCAGCTCCTTTGGATACATGTGAAGGAGCGAGGTTGCTGAATTGGATGGTAAGAATATGTTTAGTTCTGTAAGAAACTGCCAAGCTAGCTTCAAAGTGACTGTATCCGTTTGCATTCCTACTAGCCACAAACGAGATTTCCTGTTGCTCCACATCTTTGACAGCATTTGACGATGTCGGTCCTCTGAATTCTGGCCAATCTGATGGGTGTGTAGTAGTAGTGTCTCCTTGATTTAATTTGATCTTCCCTGATTATATATGATGTTGAGTATATCTTTTCATACATTCCTTTGGCACGTGTCTTCTTTGGCAGGGTGTCTGTTCAGAACTTTTGTTTATTCGTAAATCAAGTTTGTTTTTCTTTCTTTTTCTTTTTTTTTTTTTTGAGTTGGAGTCTCACTCTGTTGCCTGGACTGGAGTGCAGTAGCCAGGGTGCAGCCTTGACCTGCTGGACTCCAGTGATCCTTCCACCTCAGCCTTCCAAGTAGCTGGAACTACAGACATGCGCTACCACACCCGGCAAATTTTTCGATTTATTGTAGAGATGAGGTCTCGCCAAGTTGTCCAGGTGGGTCCCAAACCCACAAGCTCAGGCAATCCACTCACTTCAGCCTCCCAAAGCAGAGCCACCGAGCCTGGCTTCATTTTTTTATTGTTGAATTATAAGACATCTTTGTCTATTTTGGATAATGATCCTTTATCAGATGTGCCTTTTGCAAATATTTTCTCTAAGTCTGTGGCTTGCTTTCTCATTCTTTTGGCAGTTGTCTTTCTCAAAGCAGACGCTTTTGATTTTCATAAAGTCCGGCTTATCGATTATTTCTTTCTTAGATCGTGCTTTTGGCATTGTCTAAAAAGTAATCGCCAAAACCAAGTCTCCTAGATTTTCTTCTATGTTTTATGGCTTTGCTTTTTACACTTAGGTCTATGATCCACTTTGAGTTAATTTTTGTGAAGAGTGTAAGTTCTGTTCTATATATTTTTTTAACATATGGATATCTAGTTGTTCCAACATCATTTGCTGAAGACTAGTAAGCTGTTCCGTTTTTTTAAAAAATAGCTTTTTCTGGAAGACTACCTTCAGCTTAGTCAAGGACATAACATCAAAGTGTCAGGAAAAGCTGTTTCCTACAGGCGAGATTAAATGGCATGGTCTAACTATGTCTGACATTCTGGGTCTGCCCTGGGATGAAATCGAGATAACTGGACTCCCAAGCCTGACGACGGATTACAGTCACTTGGCATCCATCACTCCTGGCTCTGCTTCTGTTCCCTTTTCCATGTGTCCAAGTTCTGCTCCCACTCCAAGGTCTTCCTCAGTATCTACTTCCTCCTCAGTGACTTCTGCTCGTAGATGCCTAGGGCAGTGACTATCTTTGTCACTCACATGAGACTGTTTCACGGTGCAAAAGTACAGACTCCTAAGAAGACAGATATCTCTCGCACTCAGCTATGTTTCTTGTGGGCAGGGACAAGATCATGAATCCTTTGTGTTCTTCATAAAACTCTTAGTACAGAACTTGACACATAGTTTAATAAATGCATGTTAGTTAACTGATTAACTGGGAGAGTTCTTGTGAAAAAGGATAAGTGAGTAGCCACTGGTCTCTGAAAAAAATCTGTGCCAACCTTATCAAACACCACAAAGGAAACTGTGACTTTTTCAAAGCAATTGAATCCAAGTTCTTTTTAACTGGTAACCGCAGTATTTTGTAAACATCAAATGCACAACTAGGAAGTTGTCAATATGTATTTAGTGTATGTAGATGTATATAATATACACGTGGGCATATGTATATATATATGTGTATATATTATATATATGTGTGTATACTAGGAAAATATTAATGCTTGCAACTTTTCATGTTTTTCTTTTCCCTAGTAACAATTTTTTTTTTAGGTTGGGAGACTCACTATCACTCAGGCTAGAGTGCAGGGTCATGAACAGCTCACTGCACCCTCAACCTCCTGGGCTCGGAGCGATCCTTCCACCTTAGCCTCCCAAGTAGCTGGGACTACTGACACACACCACTACACCTAA